CAGTCCTGGCCTATAAGCTCCCTTAAGAGATGTCTATGTTTTAAAAATGAGATGATATCCATAAAACATTATTCTGATTGCAAGTCAAAAGTTTCGCAGATTTTCAAGCTAAAATAATTTAGAAAAACAAGTTTGTACAACTGATTATTGAATCACCAGATGCAGTAGTGATATAAAATCTGCTTAAGAAAATATTGTTCTGATGGCTTCACTAAAAAAAATTATAACTGCAAGTCCAGGAAGATTAGTTAGAAGATTGTATTAGTGGGCATCCATACAGAAAGAAATAAACATAAACATATTTTATGCATATATAAGCATTTCACTACAAAAAAGCTGAAATTAAAATGAATAGCATGTATGTAACTATGCAAATGGAGGAGAGGAAAAAAAACTAATCATGGTCACGTAGGACTCCTCTGAGTGTAGAAACAAATCAATACAAACAGAAATATGGAATACCTACTGATCCTATTTCAAAGAAAAGAAAGAAAACAAGAAAGCCTAATATAGAATAGTGACATCTGTGAACCAAGTTGTTATGTCCAGGTCATGCCACAATGAATCACTGTCTATAGAGACAAAATATTCATTTAGTATATTGTGAACCCATGAACTGTCCCTTGTATGGGTGACCATGTTAGTTTTAAAACATCAAACTGAAAGTATATTTAATGATGATTAATTGCTATGGGACTTTATGCACAGATAGCATTTTATGAACTACAGATAAATAACTTGCAGTATAGCATAATATGTTTAATATGTTTACAATGGAAGCCTTAGTAAATTCAGTGAAATTTCTTTCTGTAATTAAAACCTGTATTCGTGTAATAATGTGGACTGTTTGGTATTTGCTTAGAATATTATCTAAATCCATGATGTGTAAACATATCTATGGCTTAACTAGGGTTTATTCAACAAAACCCATTGTTAAGAAATTATGACTAAGAATGACATATGAAGCAAGTCATAAGCTCAATAACTTTGATTCAACAAGCTTTGCTTGTATGGAACCATGAATTACTTCTGACAAAGTGAAATAAAACATTGCCTCTGACCTCTATCCAATACTATAATATGCATGAATGTGGCATGCTTGCAGAAGTATCCCTAGCAATTTTGCAATAGCTGTAATATTCTGCACATAATTTGAAAGATATTGGATATAGTTCTAAATGCAGGTTACCTGAGAAAGAGTCTCACCCTCAAGTGTGGGATTGGCCCACTCCCTCCGCACCAACAGAAGAAATATGATGCAGACCCTGTTTGTCAAGGAAGTCAGGCTGGCAGAGTCCAGAAGAGCCTTTTTTACTGTGATTCTCACCCTGTGGAACATCGTACCCTCACCAGGTGTGAATCACTCCCGCCCTTTTGGCCTTCCCAAAAGGGCCTAAACACATGGTTCTGACAACTGACCTGGATGTGTGTATCATTCTGAAGATGGTTAATGGACTAAGAGAAGATCCTACCTCCTGCCCATGTGCATCTTCCTTCCTTCCTTCCAATCTTTGTCCATTTTAAACCAATTTTAGTGTTAATATTTATTGTTTTACTGTTTTATATTGTTTTGATTGATTGTAAGACAGCTAAAGTCATCTCTGGGTGAGATGGGCAACATATAAGACAAACAAACAAACAAACATATTCCCAGGATATATTTTGAAGCTCGGTAAATCAAATTCCTGCACAACCTAAAGGAGGATCCAAAAATTAGCATGCTGTAAGTGCAATTAACAATTGCATTTAGTTACTGTTCTTTCTCCAAACCTCTGAGACGCTATAATCTGTACATACACAACCAAAGAAGCCCAGCCAGAATATTTGTACCTTCTGCAGTGAAAGGGTCAACCGGTTATTTCTCAAAATGGACAGCAAATACTGTTTCTTTGCCCTTTTTGATGTCCTTGGATTCTTTATGCTTTTCTGTAGTTGTTTTTGATTTCTTGAGAAGTTTCTTGTGTCTTTTTAGTGCCTCAAAGAAGGCTCTTTGTGTCCAGGGATTTGGAGGGATTCCTAACCAAGGCTAAAATGCAAGTAGTAAAGCAAAGTTTCAACAGACAGAAGTGAAAACACATAGACCCATATATCCTCCCATATAGATATTCGCTTAACAGTAACATTGCAACCCACAAATCATTTTGGATGGGCATGCTGTTTCTGAACTACGGCTATTAACTGTTATCTAGCTATTATAATCAAACCGCATATTCATAGGGATCATCCAGATTCTTCAACTGAAATCATATGGAAAGCCTTGTCTAAAGTAAATTCTTCTGTATGGAGCCTTTCAGGTGAATTGCACTACAATGGCCATCAGTTTCAAAAGGCAAGTTGGCTGGCTAATAGCTAGGTGTTATAGTCAGAAGATCACAAATGGGGATCACAGGACGGTAGGGCACTGAACTGTTGTAATTGCAAGATGGCTGCCAAGTACCTGAATCGTGACATGAAACGGCTGCAACTATGAAGATTAGTCGTAAGTCTCCTTGTTAAGCACTATTGTGACTTTGAACAGTCGCTGAACAAGGATCACTTGTTGTGCTCTTGCTGCAACCTGTCTGACATGCCTTTATGCCTCTAAATGCCTTGACTTCCAGGTCCTTTTAGAATAAAAGTATGAGTCTACTGCTTTCTCCGTGACAATTTTGGTGCTGCTGCTCCAGTGTTGATGCTACATCAGGCCAATTGTATAAGACAAATGACCTTGGAAGGAAGTTGCCGATGACTGAAGAGAACAGATTGCAGCCAAGATTGTGGTTGCCATTAAAGACATACAAAACACACATATGGGAAGACTTCTAACAGGAAAAGATGGAAAATGCTACTTCCATATCAGATCAGAAAAGCTGTCTTGGTTATAAGCTAGGAATGTGAGGAGGGCTATGTTGTGTGAAAATGAGTTCAGATCTGCTCTATTTGCAAATTTTGGGGCATAGACTTCCTCTATTTGCATATTTTTGGGTTCAATTGACAGATTGGGAAAATCATATATAAAGTACTTTTCACTAGTCTGAAATCTATCAGAATTAACTACATGATATATTAGCTTTAATACACTGCGATAGGGGGAAAGAAGAAAGCATTTGATTACCTGCCCCTTTGCTTTTAATTTTTGTATCAATGGAAAAGGTAGAAAAACTCACAAAACCAGAATATCACTTGTCAAGTGACTGGTAAGCCTACTGCATAACTTTTAAATGCAGATGTAAAGCCATTATTTCAGTTTCAACCTTATTGACGAGCATTAAGATAAATTGTCTCCTATTGTGTGGACAATTATTTGGTCATTAATTACTAAATGAAATAAAATTATTTAGCATAAAATTATGGTCTTTTCTGAGGGACCATACACACACACACACACATATATACAGTATATACACACACATATATACATATATGTACACACACATATATATACCATATAATTAGTAAAACAGTGGGGATGTTATTTATATAGTCATCCAATTCAGGTGAGGATTCTAGGTGACTTGCATTTTGATGAAACATGAAAAACACGTAATTAAACACATGATTGGTGCAATAGTGGAACATAAAAAAAACAGACCAACAGAAATAGCAGTTTGTTCAGCAGTATTATTATGTACTGCGCATTGAGTACAGAAAGTCCTGTGGGGTTAGGACCATGTGTTCATTATTTATATACCTCTTTCATCTGTTCTGTCATTTTATTTTTTCTATCTCCTTTTTTCTTTGGTTCTTCTTTTTTCTTTTCTTTTCCACATTTACTATATTTTTTCTTTGTTATATATGCAAAATATTTTAATGAAAACTACTTTTGAAAAAGAGACGTCCTATTCTGATTGTTAGGAAATTTCTGATTACTAGGAAAAAACTTGTTAACTGCAAGCGGTGAGGATTATTTTAGAGATGTGGTTTCACTTTCACTCATAGTTTAAAGTAAATGATGGACAGTCATCTGTAGGCAATCCTTTAATTCGGAGTTTTGCATTAAATGGAGTTGGCATGCATTAATATTAAACATTAAGTTGGAAAGACGGCATGCACAGTGTTTCCAATTTAATGTTTCAGGATATTATTTGTCTTACACCCTTATCTCCCTCCAATAATCTGTAATTTGAGAGTGTCCTGTGGACAGTATCAGAGACTCCATAGTGTTGGATGTACAGAAAGCAACATTTTGCTCCTTTTGTTAGAAGCAAACCTCTGGGAATAAGTAGCCATTCTACTCTATTAAATTATGTAGGCTAGAAAAGAGCCACAAGAATCATAGAATCATAGGGTTGGAAGGAACCTTGGAGTCTTCCAGCCCGACCTTCTGTCCAAGACAAAAGTCTTTATACAGGTAGTTCTCAATTTACCACCACAATTGAGCCCAAAGTAGCTGTTCCTAAGTGAGGCAATTGTTAAGTGAGTTTTGCCCCATTTTACAACTTTTCTTGCCTCAGTTTGTTAAGTGAATCACACTGCAGCTGTTAACTTAATCACGCGGTCGTTAAGTGAATCCGGCTTCCCCACTGACTTTGTCAGAAGGTCACAAGTGGTGTTTGCATGATCCCAGGACACTGCACGGGTCCTCAATGTGAGTCAGTTGCCAAACATCTGAATTTTGATCATGTGACCGTGGGGAATGCTGCAACGGTCGTAAGTGCGAAAAACAGTCCTAAGTCCCTTTTTTTTCCAATGCCGTGGTTGATTTTGGACGGTCACTAACGGAACTGTTGCAAACCGAGGACTACCTGTGCCATCCCGGACAAAGGATTGTCCAATCTTTTAATCTCGCCGGATTGCAGACTCGGCACCGCGGCAGGCTTCTATTCCTAGTTAGGCGGGAACGGCAGGGACGGAATGTCCTTATGATACTCGGGGGACTCCAGGGATAACGAAGACAGATCGCATTGCCGGCATTCCACGCTCGAAACCCAGTCGAGTCTTCTTTGACGTCAGAATGGAAGGGCGGAGCTAAGGCATGAACAGGAAGAGCAGAAGTGGGGGGGGAAAACACGCGCCTTGCCCGGAAATCCTTCGCCGCGTTGTTCCCCGGGGCGGGCCTGTCCTTGTCCGGCATGGCGCTGCTGAGCCCGCGTGTATCTGCCCGGGCCGCTTATCTTTCTTCCTTCCCGCTCGGCGAGCGGGACCAGCCGAAACGATCCCCCGGCCCACCTCGGGGCCTTTCGGTCTCCCTGAAGCGCCGGGGAGTCAAGAAGCGGCAGCCGAAGGGCTCGGCAGCCAGGAATGGCTCTGTGGCATCCGACGGGGAGCAGCCTAGAGATGCGTTCCCGTTTTCGGGTCCCAAGGAGAAGCGAAAACCCAAACGGAACAATATCTCCGCTTGCAAACATTTGGCTCCCTTGCAGAGCCGGCAGAAAGCGTTGCGGAGGAAGGCGGAGCGCAGACGGGTAGACCAAAAGGCTCCAGAACCGCCAGCATCTGCTGGGCCGCCCCATGGAGAAGGAGGGCAGCCCTTCTACCCCCGGGAACTGTCTTCGAGTTGCTCTCTCCTGACCTTCCTCCAAGACCTGGAAAAGGTCCAGGATAGCCGGGAGCGAGCTGCCAAACTCTTCCAGTGGCTCATCGCTCCTGTTTCCTCGCAGGAATTCTTTGATCAGTACTGGGAGAAGTCACCGCTTCTGATCCACAGGCACAACCCAAATTATTATCAGGACCTCTTCTCCACTGCTGAGTTCGATAACATCCTACGCGACCACAATGTCCAGTTTGGTGTCAACTTGGATGTCACCAGTTATGAGGATGGGAAGAGGGAGACCCATAACCCTGTGGGCAGGGCAGTGCCAGCTGTGGTCTGGGATTTCTACAGGAACGGCTGCTCACTCCGGATGCTGAACCCTCAGGCCTTTTCGGCTACCGTCTGGCATGTCCTGTCCATCCTACAGGAGCAGTTCAGCAGTATGGTTGGTGCCAACACTTACCTGACTCCTGCTGGAGCTCAGGGCTTTGCCCCACATTATGATGATATTGAAGCGTTTGTGCTCCAGCTGGAAGGAAAAAAGCATTGGCGGGTTTACGCCCCGAGACAGCAGGCTGAGATGTTGCCTCAGTTTTCAAGTAGCAATTTTAGCCAGATGGAGATTGGTGAACCGATTCTGGAGATTGTCTTAGAAGCTGGGGACCTGCTATACTTCCCCCGGGGGTTTATACATCAAGGAGATTGCCTCCCAGAGGCTCATTCACTCCACATCACAGTTTCTTCCTATCAGCGAAACTCTTGGGGAGACTTGTTGGAAAAACTTCTCCCGGCAGCATTGCAGATGGCTATTGAAGAGGACATTGAATATCGCCAAGGCCTCCCTGCGGACTATCTGGAATACATGGGTGTCATAAACACTGATGCTGATGACCCACGCCGAACTGTCTTTCTGCAGAAGATCAGGACTTTACTCACAAAACTAATGGATTATGCACCAGTTGATGCTGCAGTGGATCAGAAAGCCAAGTCTTTTCTTCATGACTGTCTTCCTCCAGTGCTCACTGAGACGGAAAAGGCATTGAGTGTTTTCAGGCATCCGGCACGGTGGGAGAATGGAAACGTGCAAAATGTTGATGTCCAGCTTGAGAAAACTACACAAATACGTCTACTTCGATATGGCATTGTCAGGTTGTGCAATGAAGGAGATGCTACATTACTGTATTATACCACAGAAAACTCAAGAGTGTACCACAAGGAGGAGCCTAAGTGTTGTGAAATAGAATCCGAATACATAGATGGAATTGAATTTTTGCTCTCCTCTTACCCAAATTACATCTGTATAGATGCCCTTCCTGGTGGTTCTTTGAACGATAAGATTGCCTTGGGAACTTTTTTATTTGAGAAAGGGTTGGTGGTTACTAAAAAACCTCTTTTATCTGGTAACATAAAAATAAATGAATTGTAAGAAATTATTTTTCTTCTACTTACTAGTACATTTAAGATAGCAATCCAAAAGTCTGGAAACTGACTGCTTGGAATTTGTGTTTGATCTGCAGAGATAAAGAAATACATATATGCATACATATACATTTATATGTATATATTAGATAAACTATAGAAAGATAAAGGATGTAATTTGATCTACATTTTAAAATGTTTTAACAGTGTTTATTCTTAACGATATTCTTATTCTTAACAAAATAATTTTTGTCTCCTAAATTGTGAGCTGGATTAAAATAGTGAAAAAAAGTATTCCAGTAGAAGATTGCAATAAACATAAATGGTAGACTTAAAGCTCATTTTTGTATATACATACATACATACATACATACATACATACATACATACATACATACGTGTGTATGTATACACACACATACATACACACACACACACACACATTCCATCAAACTGTTTTTCATTCTGTTCTATGTTACCAGTGAAAGTAGTTTTAACAACATCAAGGAAGATGTCACGAATATCGCTGTATGCAAAGATGTCTCCCTTTTCCCGATAAATGCAGTGGGCTTCATGCCACATCTTCTCTATTACTTCTTGAAGCTTTAGTACTTTCTTTATTACTAGGGGTATTTGGCTTAATCTGGAAATCTGCAACACAAATTGTACATTTTTTGCACCATTTACCAATATAATTTTATCCCTTTCACAATTCTTGCATCATCATCATACTAAAAACTTTTACTCTTTCTTAGAATGTGGAAGTATAGTAGAGGAAATATGGTGAAAGAGTGAACTGCTAAACTAAAAAGTTAATAGCTTTTAATTTATATGAGAAAGTAAGTGTAAAATTTGTACTTCTAACTTTTTTTCAGATACTTGTTAACCTACTTGAAGCTTTGCCAATTTGCCAGTTTGTTAAGGCAATTAGGTGAAAAATCAGGGGCTTTATGAGTTGAAATAGCCTGGACAAATCAAGTTAGGTTTTGTAATTACTGCAGAGCAAATAAAATGTTTATTTTTCACTAAGATTCCTGTTTTCTTTAATTCTCCCAAGTGCGATGTGACATAAAGGATATTAGCAACTAGTAGGTCTTATTCCTCTAGCTACAGATCTCATTGTCAGGTGCTCTGCAGTCTATAACTGATAGCTTGTGACATATGTTGTCACTTTCAGAAGGCACATATATCTTTTCTTAGTAAACCTTTACAAACACAAAATGCATCTTGTTTGAAATGATAGTCAATTCCTGATGTATTAGCTTCTTACATCCGGAAAGGTATTGATGAGGTGATGCATGCAACAGGAATTTTCCTCATTGTGGTATAGTATCTTTTGGGAATCTGAATACATGCTTGAACTTCTATATGAATGCAATTAAGATATGCAGAGGTTTCTTGCTTATTATAACCTTGTGGTCTCCTACAGTCTGTCTCTGCATATAAGCCAACAGTTGCTTCAGAACTTTGGAATATGGCCTTGTGAAATTCATGCTGACTATCTGATTGCTCCCGTATGATCCGAAGGCCCACTATGTAGCATTTAACACACTTGCATATTACAATTTCATATTGCTTCAAATTTTCAGAAGTTACCAGTCTTTAGAAATGTGCATAGGGAAAGGAGAAGTTTCCTGAAGTGTGGGAAAGAGCTATGTAATCTTGGCTTCTAAAAAAATACAGCACAACAACATTTTAGATTGGATTTTTTTTTTACCTCATTCTTGATTTTTTGGATCATTTCTTGCTCTTCCTTTTGTTCAAAATTGAAATTTGTCACAGCACGACTCACTTCTCTGTTCAAAGAAATGGACCTTTTCAGAAATCTCAAAAGTCAAATCTACATTTTCATTTTATTTATTAAGAATTTATTTGTATAACATTCCTCCTCCCTTAGGAGCATTTATTTTTACCTTTGCTGAACACATAGCATCTGATACACTTTTTCTGTAAATCTGAGGGTAGTGCAACACTACAGAAACGTCTTGCTCTATTTGTACTTAAATGCCCAATCCTTCCCCAAATTTAGAAAAAGGCTAATCCCAGAGAAAACTATTCCCTGATTAGGCCCACACACACTTTCAGGTGTGTGGGCCTAAGTTTCCATCTTTTCAAGTTAATAGAGTCTGTTATCACCGAAACCCTCAGACATTAGAAAAATTCAAATTATTTTCTTTAGATATCTCTGTAAACCTAGATGAAAATATCTTGCTACTCACTAGGGTAGATCCTCTTCTGAATATCCACATAGCAGTAGCATTTAGACTTATATACCATTTCACCGTACTTTACAGTCCTCCCTAAGCCGTTTACAGAGTCAGCATCTTGTCCCCAACAATCTAGGTCCTCATTTTCCCCACCTCAGAATGGAATGCTGAGTCAACCTTGAGTCAGTGAGAATCGAACTGCTAGCAGATAGCAGTCAGCAGAAGTAGCCTGCAATACTGCATTCTAACCACTGCACCACCACGGCTCACTTAGTGCCACAGTTGTTTGACAATACATTTCATTGACTTTAATAAGGAATAGACAGGACTGCACAGTGCATAAATTGGAAGTATTTCAATTAATAATACCTATCATGATTTGACTAAAGTGTATGAAATGGTATTTACTGAAGATCTATTTCTGTTGAAAAGGAGCATAGATGATAGTCCTCGACTTAGCAACCTTGAGTGAGCAACTGTGGGAACTTGGGAACTAATTCATAAGTAGCTCCAGGGGAGGTCCATCATAATTTCAAATAATCACCAAGCAACTGGTCATAAATAGAAGATTAACTATAACTGACTAGACTACTGTCAAATCATTAATAAAATGTTATGGACAGGATTAAAAGATGGCATAAAATCTTGTCTTGCTTTATTAACTGGTAGAATGGTTTAAAAATCACAATTGGCAATACAGGCCATTATTGCCCTATCCCCACATCCCATTACCATAGGAATATATCAGTGCAGTGGCAAGGAACACTTACGTTTGAAGAATAAGGGGTATTTTTTTCAACGCTGTAAACGTAATAAAACATGCTGGCTGAGGAAAATTCCATGTATCTTGAACTTGCCAAGGTTGAGAAACGATCCTTTAGGAGCTCCTTGGGGAAGGAACTTTCTAAACAAGGGAGTGGTCTTTGATCAAAACAGCCACTTACTCTTTTACTTTCTCGTTTGGTTCCAGTATCATTCTCATCAGCAAAGTAGCCCGAACGCTTTCATCCTTCATCTTGAGAGTGATGATACTCCGGCAGGCTTCCCTCCGTACTCCAGGATCTTCCTCATTATGAAGGGCCCAGAGAAGAAGGTCTTTTAGGTAGGGAGTTGCCTCACCTATCTGACCCAAAGCTGCCAAAAAGAAAATGATAGTTGCTTTGACTTTTTATGTCAAGAAGGTGAGCTTTTGGCCTTTGTGATCCAGTATTTGCCAGTTATCTGAATATATACAGGTAGTCCTCAATTTTACGACCACAATGGCGCCCAAAAATTTATGTTGCTAAGTGAGAAATTCGTTAAGTGACTTTTCTTGCCATAGTTGTTCAGTGAACCACTGCGGTTGTTAAGTTAGTAACATAGTTGTTAAATGAACCTAGCTTTTCCCATTGATTTTGCTCGTCAGAAAGTTGGGGAAAGGGGATCATATGACCCCAGGACGCTGCAACCATCATAAATACGAACCATTTTTCAAGCATCTGAATATAAATCACATGATTATGAGGATGCTGCAAAGGTTGTGAAAAAATGGTCATAAGTTACTTTTTTTAGCGCCATTGTAACTTCAAATGGTCACTAAATGAACTGTTGTAAGTCGAGGACTACCTGTATTCTGAAATGAAGTACTATTCTTAAACAGAACCCGAAGAACCTTAATGAGGGAAACCCTTCTCTTTTGAAATAAAAAAGTGGTGCTATATTGTTGATCATATTAATAGTATTGATCTTTTTGCAAATAAGTCATAACTGATTTCTTTATGCAGCTATGGGTTAATACCACCGTCTGAACTGAACCATTAATGCATTAAAAATAGTGTTATTTTAACAGAATGCCAGAATGCAAAATGACATATTTCATATGGTATTTCACAGAAAGGAGTTAAGAGCTAAAGCATTTAAAAGAGGTAAGTGTGCTATTAACAAAACAGTGAAGGACCAACAACTGATGGCCCTATTAGATTTAATACCAATCCTATCAATTTCCATACTCAATGTGCACAATTTTAAAGTTTTATGTTTGCCTTGTATATCTCATTTAAATTAATATTGGCTTTTGTTGTATCCACTCATAGTTTCTGGAGTTGGGCAGTATATAATGCAAATATTCTAAGCAAAGCAAGTAAGCCTGGAGAATTCTGGTAGGTACAATTTTAAGAAACATCTTAAAATTGCCAAGATTGGGAAACACTGGTTTAGTAAATAAATAAGTAAATCATCTTCCTTCCAGCTCCAGCATTTGAGAGGATTATTGAAAGAGGGTTTGGATCCAACTTTGATTATATTTAGTACAGACTTTTTCTTCTTTATGTACTATTTCACTGACATAAAAAGTTTTGTAAGTTATCTTCTAACTTCAGCCATTCCAAATAAACTGTACATGACGTAGTTCATACCTACATGCAGGTGATCTGTTTTAATTACTGCATGAGAATTAAATTTACTGTCCGCTCCCTATCACTTTCTGTGTCTCAAGTTGGAAGTCATTGGAATACAGTTGTTCAATTACACTTGATAATCACAAAACATTTAAATCCATCTTAGCCTATTCCTAGTGGGCATAGGCCAAGCATAGCTCCATGTTGCTTACACAACACACACACACACACACACACACAAACAAATCATGGATGCAATACCATACATACTTCCTAAAAGGTAAGCCTTATTCAGGGTGTAAGAAGACCAGCTTCCTGCTCTTTTAGTGACCAGCTAGATAAAATTTTCAGAAATAAGAGAACATCCAAAATTACAGTTACAAAAACTATTTATAGATACAGTTTAAAGGAGAATTCTCAACAGTTTAACAATACAATACCTCTGATGGCAAGAGCTTTGATATTCCATAAAGGATCAGTCTGCATGATCTTAAAAAGGCATTTTAGTACCTGTTCAACAACAAGAACAACAAAATCTGTTGACTGATACAGAGCCTTATTCATAGATCTTTTTTTAAAATAGGGTTATTTATATTAAATAACATACATAATTTATCCCAAATTAAAAGCAGGAACTAGAGAACCAAGTCTACAATATGCCATTACAGACATATATAACAAAATCTTATGAGAGTAAACACAAATAAATAATTATGTATTGTGACTTGCTAGATACTAATGAATCGCTGATTCACCCTTGCTGAAAAAAAACAGCTTTTACACA